TAGAAGGCTTGATCAATGTTGCTTTGGAATGCGCATGTGTAATACATTCGAATTTGGTTAGTCTCGTTATGGTGTTCGGGTACATCTATTTCCGTGCAGCGACTTGTGGGGTGGTTTTTAATCTACTGCTTTCATATATCAATGAATTGATTAGCAAAATAATATTGTAATCAACCCAGCCAAATCTAATTTTTTTTCAAAGTAGAGTTTCCAAAGAAACAATGATAATCAACTATTAGGGTGTTCTGAAATGTTTTCTATATTTACTTGTAAAAGTTATTAGGAGAAATAATGAAATAGTAAAGTGTTCAGCACTGTAGTTGATGTGGACGGACCAAAAATCGGCGTCGTGGACGAAAAATATTTGCAGGACAGATGGAGTGAGTACTGTACGATCGGTAGTACCCTTATGTCGAGTGCCGTTGGTGCAGTGTCCCATAACGATCAGTGGTACATTAGTGGACCCACGAGCAGCTACCGTACGTAATCCGATCAGAGTAGCCTACTCGATACAAAGTCATTCGAAAGAGGTAATCATTTCGATTATATAATGCAGTGTTTGTCTTGATACGCTTTTCTAATAAGAATCCACTGGTAAGTGTCAGATCATTATGAGAAGAAACTCAGAATCGTTACCCGTTTTCAACTTATTTTCTTTCATGATTCCTCGACAGGGCATGGGCCGTGACAGAATAGCAACAAAACAGGAAAATTGGCCAGAAAAATCAGAAAAATTTTCCAACTTTTAAGCAATAGCAAACACTAAAGTGCTCAATAAAGGCACAAGGAAGAAGGAACAAAACTACATGATGATGAAACGAGAGGCAAAGAGGAGTGGTTGGGTAAAGAGTTGTAAACACGACGCTATTCTTCGTTTATGTTGGATATTGTACCTTTTCGCACACATGGAAAACAGGATTAGAATTCACCTTTGGGACTGTTACTTGTGGTACCAGGCGTCACGTGCGCCCCAGTTACTCCAGCCTTCTTTATGGCTTTTTGAAGGCACAGTTCACGATGGTTTTGGGGTATCTAGTTTTGGACAAATAATGGATATAATAGTCGGAATAATGCAGAACTGGTGAAGAAAATGTGGAAATCGGAGTATTTGGAAGAATATAAAGCTTCAAAAAGTAGTAAAATAGTGTTGGACGAGAATGTGACAAAAGTTGCATAGAAGGGTCATTTGGACGAGCTGTCCGAATGTGTCTGCCACTGCGTATAGCTGGCTACAGCTGGCATATAGCATATGTCCACGTGAGATATGGTGCGTCCGGAGTTGCACGCGGCGAACTGCGCGGTGAAACTTGTCGCGATTTTAACGGCTCTGGCGTTTATCACCAAGAGCATGTATACAAAACTTCGTGGAGGTCCAGAGATCAAGCCGCTCATAAACAAACACATCGTTTTGATCGAGATAGGGGAGTAATTTGAGTAAATATTCGCCGCACGATTTGTCCCATGCGTCTTCGGCGTACCAATATATCGTTCCCTGCCTACGTGCAAGATGTGGGTCCCTTTGCAAATGATGCTACCTCTACAGCCTTCACGAGGCCGCAAAAACTCATCTGATTATGGAAGCTTATATCGGCTAAACTGGTGTTGAAGCCCTTAACACGTCCGATGAGTTTTATTTTCCGACCCGACAGCGTCCCTCGTTTATCCTTGGGATCACAAGTTCAGCCTGGAAAGGAATCTCAGAAATCTTCTACATCGTGAACTATGCTTGAGCCGGAGCTTATCAGCGCTGACGACTGAACCATAAAATGAAGCTGTAGAGTTTTCTCGTTTGAACTTGTTTTGACTTGAAGAAATAGCAGCATTTTACAAAAGCATCAAGTTAAAACAAGTGATGAACATGAACTTCAATGGATGAAACACGTTGGCGAAATAAACCCAATGCTCTTCGGGTTGTCAGCCAAAACGCCGGTCTGCCATATTAGGTGGTGCCAATTTTTCTTTTTTTTCACTCCATCAGTATATATGCAGGGGCTCCTTCATACTGGCTTGGCAGTGTTTTTCCTAGTGAAAAACCATGACGACGAAGAATAAGACCTGGTTGGTATTGCAACAAGTCCCCTATTTACATCCTCTTGATGGTTTTTTCTTTGTTTTCAAAATGTGCCAGCTAAAATATGTATAACAGAAAGATGGTGTGTGGTATGTCGAGCTTGATCTTTCTATTTTGCATCATCTGGTTTTCGAAACACGCTTTCGATGCAGAGTTGCCACTGTAGTCCTCCTTTTGAGCAGCTTGTTTGAGCCTTGAGATTTTANTAGCTTCCTCTATTAAGCAGCTCTACTCAATGCTGCTATATAGGCGGCCCCTCAGGTCTAGGGGAATGCGGCCCATTCACATTAAGATCACAGTTCACGATAATCCTGAGATACCCCTTTTTGGTCGAAAGCGGAAGTATAGCTTGGGAATAATTCATCAGTAGCGAAGAAAGCGAGAAAATCCGTCGATTTCAGGAAATGGGACTGTTTGAAAGTAGTGGAAATCGTGGTTGGACGAGATTACCATGACGGAATTAACATGGATGGGGCATTCGGACGAGGTTTTAGTTGTTGCAATTGCGCAAAGAGCTGACTACATCAAGCCGGAACCGTAGAAAGCTGCCTTCCAGTGTCGCAATGGGTCATGAAAAATAGTTTGAACATCCTTCCTGGGTTCCCCAGTGATTGGTGCAGCCTGTACCGGTGAAACTCGTCCGAGGATCCAATAGGGACAATCTTTGCGCCCTCATGAGGCCCTATCTAGGCCATTTCCCGACTTGACAGCGATACCTAGGGTGTACGAGGGGGCATAAATTCGTTCTAGTGCGGTACCTCATAAACCATTTTCATCGTGAACTAAGCGTTTCATTTTTCGGGCCCATAGGCTCAACTGATCACCAACTTTTTCATTGAATAAGGTCTGCTAAGGTCAATATCACTCATAAGCATAGATAAACTATGAACCCCAAAACGGTGTATGGTTTCACCGCACATTTTCGCCGCCATAACGGTGCATCCTTTTCTGCTTTACTTTTCCTTACCTTCATCAGTATTTAACTCCGGAAAGTAAATCGTTGGTAGCTTAAACCTTACATAGTTTCCGTTATAACATTCAGCAAATGCGGTTGGACTGATTGAAGGTACTTTCGGTAGTCTCGTAGTTTAAACTCCTGCTAAAACTGAGTAAGCGTCTTGGACGTACTACTTTTCCTTGTTTTGTTTTCCTTTATGCTCGCTGGTTTCAATCATTTTTAATCATTTTATTAGGCTATACACTTTCTTTTGTTTGTCTCCACCTAGGTTGTGAGTAAATGGTTAACTGTAAGGTAGAGCCAATGAAGTTAATCTCTTTCTATATCTAAACCTTTGATTTACAATGCTTTGCCCACCATTTTACTAGCACTTCAGTCGGCTTTCGTTTCAGCCGATCGAGTTGACCGCTTCGTTCGATTTGGCCGATATGTTCATGTTCTGTGGTGAAAAGCGGGTGAGTTTTGTTAGCATCGAAATTTTTTGAAACACTCTTTGCCTGGCAATTTATTCATCGTTAGGATGTGACGCGAGTTTGCAATAGCAATGTATAGGCAAACGCTCTTTTATGGCAGTGCCTTACGAAAGCTGTACTGTGTGGTACTAGACTTGCACTAATTATTAAGTAGTGCAGGAAGTAGTGAAGGAGTAGTGAAGTGTTGTGGTGATGCCAGATAAACAGAAGACAACATTCCACAGGGAATCCTCATCATGTCATCTACTTGCACACGCACGAAATACAGAAGGTTGTTTTTGATGTGTTCATCTCACTTATTGAACACACCGGATACAAATCTCTGCTAGCAATTCTTAACACTTTGGAGAGCTTCTCATTCTCTGCTTTTGATTATTTGATTGATTACTGACGTGATATTCAGTCTTCATTCGGTTAGAGTAGGTCGCTAGGCGTTGAAATCTACTATATCACATCACGGTGATAGCTGTTTTGGGAACCGTGGGACAGATTTCGTTTTCCTATGTGGGAATTGAAATCTGTTTTTGTTTACGGAACCTTTCCTGATTTTATGTTGATTTGTGTAATTACTCGCAAATCGCTAAATTGGATATGGACATAGAAGAAAGTGTAACTTCCCCAAAAATTAAGTGAATTTTTATACAATTAATCAGGAATAGAAGATATCTTCCAGATTCCGCATTCGCGATGGGAAGGGTCCACGTAAAATTGGGCATTTGTTGATCAGGAAAATGAGGCCTAGTGATAAGTGAGATGGCCTTCGGTCGCATTCTAAAGCAACTTGGCTGGCTTGTATTACCAGATTATGGGAAGGAAATCGGAGCAGATCTGCAGTAGCACATAAGGAACTAGATAGAATACTCTTCTTTATGTCAATAATAGTGTTTGCCAGGTACAAAAAAGGAAGCCCAGTCCAATTCGCATAAGTTTTGAGTGACTATAACTATGTTCTACGCATTCCTTCACCTAGTCACTATTGTACATATCCTGCTGCTCTTTTTTCCCTCTCGAAACAGTGTTCACAGATTATCTCTGCGGGCGCATTTCAATTGCAAAGTGTCAAAACCGATGATTTCCAAGCAGATTAGGCTTTCCTTTAGAGTGAATGATTTATATGCAAGTCTTTGTGCTGTTGCTTGCAGCGCTAGCATCACGTGATATCCATGCTAATAACCAAGTGCTCATCTGGAGGCGATTTAAGAAGCAAAAACCTAAGCAGGAATCTCGGCTTTGTAACGGACAAAGCTATTGACCTCGATTATCTCAGAAATAAGCTGCAGTCGAGCAGCGATGAACTGATCACACTGAACTCAAACTTCAAATAACTTATGAAAAATCGAAGACGAATGCAATCGGTGGCTCAATTCCATAAAATTAGTTTCGCAGAGCTATCTAACTGAACTACGAGCTAAAGCTTTTTGTTTGCCTCACGTGCCTCGTCTAATATTTTATTCACCTTAAAAGTGTGTTAGAAAGTCCGGAAAATCACTATTTTAATTTTCCTCTGGAATCGTTTTGCAAATTTAGATATGAGTTACGAAATCAACTCAAGAAAGCACGTTTGCAGATTGAGTTTCATGAGTGTCTCCTCAACCAGATATCCTTCCCTTGATAGTCGCAAGAATGAGTTTTTAGCGGATATCCCGCTTTTTCCCGGTCCGAGTGTATTCACATGAAACGCAGCTTAGTAACCAAAAAAGTTGTTTTGCAAGACTACGCAATACACTTTATTCTCGTTTTCTCGTTACTGTTACCCCAACTATATAATTGAATACCATGAAAAGAAGCTTTTGCTGATGAGATAGTGTGTTAGGAGGGAATAGACTGTTGAACAACTAGCATAAATATAGAATGTTTGCCAGGTATCTAAAGTACATCAGGTCTCGAAAGCCACTATACAATCAGAACAAAGGGTGACTAATGGAGTTCGCACTTTTCAGTTGAGATCCTGAAATTTAATTGGTCTTTGTTTTTGTTGTACACTC